AACTCTTTAATTCTCCACGAATTTAATATCCAAGAATATTTAAGGCAAAAAAATAAAATAAAATTTTGAACATGATATTTAATCATTATATAATGAATACTATTAATTTTAATGATTTAAGGTATAAAAGGTTCTTGAATTAGTGAAAAAAATAAAAATCTTTAATTTGATATTTAATACAAAAATCAAATTAAGAAAATAATAAATTAAGCTCTTCAAATGGCATTGAAAATTTATTTTAAAATTTGTAGATCTCATTTATTAGGACTATAGATGATGTGATGCACTATGCCCTCTAGCAGACTAAATATATATTTATTATTTTAGAAAAATATTAAATTTAAATTATTATATTAAGGTGAAAACAAAATATTTTAAAAAAAATATGTATTTTTTTTCAAAGAAAAAAATATTAAACTTTTGGATCATCGTTCTAAACTTTTACATCCATTATTCGACTGGGTTTCGATTGTACCAAGCTTTTTGTAATAATAATTATAGGTTTTTAGCCCCAAAAATATTTCATTGATCACGAAAGAGTATTTATACATAACTAGAACATTATTTCAAAAAAAAATACATAAATTGGACATTGCTACGTAGAAAACTAGCCTAAAATTAATGCTAGTGCTAAAATTAAGAGATTAGGATTATAATTGGCAAATTAATTATAATAGAGATAATCAAAAGATTATAATTGACTATGTAACTAATTACAATAAAAATAATTAGAATAAATTAATTTTAATTGATTGTCTAATACTCCATGTTTTAGATTGTATTTATCTTTTAAGATAAAATTAATTAAAAGCTATTTTAATGAATATTACAAGAAAGTAAGTGGATTTTACTTTAAAATTACCTCAAATTTGAAAAATAAACAGAAAACATCTTGTCTATGAATTTAATTTAATTTTTAAAAATATTTCTTATAACATTTGATGAGAACTCAACAAATTTGAATTATTTTAACATTATTGGACTCGGATGATTTATAAGAGTTATTTAAATCAAACATGAAGTAGATGACTTTCAGAGTGTATGAACCGAGTTATATGTATTTTGTTATCGACTGACATAAAAGAAATTATCATCAAAATTTACGTAATTATTGGTTTGAGTAATATATCTATTATGATACGTATTATCAAAGATAAAAATTAGATTAAATTATGCAATCTAACATAATCTAATCCTATTCAATCCAATTCTACCTTGTATAGTTAAATCTTACCTTGTGTAAAATTGGATTACAAGGAAACCTAATTATGATTACGATTATAATAAGATTACGACAATATCATAATCATAAAGTATAATTATGATTACGATTTTCTTTACATAAAAAGGTATTGAAAACTTGTGTATATATAAGATAGTGTGTTATAGACCTTAACAAGCACTGAAAGTACAGTTTTCTTTTGTTTACTACATAATTTTGTGAATTTAATTTCATTGTCTTGAAAAATGTCAATGAGAAAGGAGATAATGATTTTTTGGATATGTGCAATGGTAGCGAGCTCATTGTTGAGTGAGAGTGCAAGAGGACAAGGAGGAGTACCGATCAAATATCCGCCAATCGGAAGAGGAGATCCACCCGAATGCAAAGGAGGCAGTTGCTTACCACCTCCATCAAATCCTCCCTCCAGAGGCTGCGAAAAGGCTACTAGATGCCGATCATCACCGCCCTCCAAAATAACTACTTCGCCCTAGTTAATAAACTGTCTTTTATTCGCACTATTCATCGTATTAATAAATCCATCTATTACTTAAGGTGTTTTATTATAAGAATTTTCTTTTATCGTTTGTTTCGTGCGAAGTGTGTTCATCGTACTATCTTTGATCTCAATCTTAAATCAACTATGAGTATTGCAATTCAATTTTATTAGATTATTGGATATGATGAGCACCATTAATGATGAGCATCACTGAGTACCACTAATGATGAGCATCATTAATTTAATTTATAAAAAAATTAAAATCTTAAAAGGACTCAACGTATAATTATAAATTAGTTAAAAATTTAAAGTTAAATTATTTCAAAGAAAAATATTAATTACATTATTTCTCATAATCTTCTTTTAACAACTTTTTAAATGTAATTTTGTTACTATTAAAAAAATTACGGAAAACAATGTAATTAATATTTTTATTTGTTTGTAATCTACCTTTGAACTTTTAACTAATTTATAATTATACATTGAGTCCTTTAGAATTTTAAATTTTTATACATTAAATTAATGGCGCTCAACGGTGGTTATCGTTAGTAGTGCTCAGTTGTACTCGTCGAACGTGACAGACTCATCCTATACTGAGACGTAACAAATTGATTCGAAAGGAAAGGAGTTGAAGAAGTAAAGCATATTTTGGTGGGTAAATGATTGGCAAATAGTCGACTAAATTGAACAAAATTTAAATGGTTATTGATTTGCAACGTAAGTGGTGTCACTGTTTGATAATGATAATGAAGATTTAGAGGGATGAGTCTCTCTTTTGGCTTCTCATAAGCATATATATATATATATATATATATATGAATATGGTGGAAAACTGGACAAGGTTGGTGCTTTTGAACCGTATCTCCTCTGCTTTCGATATTTCTAACAAGAGTTATCTCATGCACATAACTGGAAGACAGGCCACATCAAGGAATACAGATTATCTGACAAATATGCTAAATATGAATGTATAATACAATTATATGAGACAAATATAATATAGAAAACTAACAAGTTCATAATGGGACGTAAAAATATGGAGTATGAATACTTTTTTTAACTATATAAAAACACACAAAATATATACTATTTTCAAACACGATTGTATAGTGGCCATGGATGCTTTTTAATGTACATTTTGGAGAATAATTGGTCAATCAAATACGGTCCCTGGTTATTAATATGAAAGTGTAAACGAAATACAGGGAGAAAAAAAGAGAATATGAATGTGGCCGTGGGTTTTATGTTTTGTGATGATTAGGTTTTTAATCAAACTTATGTTTAATTGATATAATGAGAGCAAAAGTAAGACTTGAGGAAAAATTTATTTGATTAATAATGTTGGGTGATAATCAAATACACAATTTTCATAAAAATATTGAGTGATAATTTTAACAAGTACTTAAGTTCAATAAATACATACTGTAGAATTTTCCAATGATAATTTTAAAAGTAATAAAAAAAATTCAATTCGTAATTATCCCAGCCTCAGTGTAGGGGAAGGGTTTTCTAAGTTACCGTGGAGCATTTTAAGCCTACAAAAACACTGAATTTGTTACTACATGCTTGTACGGTAAATCAAATTCTTCTTACCTGCCACATTCGTTCAATTTAAATCCTTCAAATCTCCCCACCATACTATTTCATTCGGTAAATGAATTAGTTAGGTTGAAATGAACTTTAACCATCAGGCAAGTTACTGTGCAAACAATTAAATTCTTCAGTTCGATCCGATCTGATCTTGGTTGTGTTTTCGAATGAGGGTGCAAAAGTCGGACTACATTGAAAAAATCATCAACGTGATCCCTTTTTGTAAAACGGCATCGAAAGTAAAAGAGGCAATGAATGAACTTTAAGGTAACTCTGCTTTCTCTTTCTCAAGATACTTCAGCTTGTCGCAATATGTTTGTATGAAGTGATGCAAAGAGGGCATTGATGCAGTTAGGAAGGACAAGTATATAATTCGATACTGACATGGGATTCAAGTCCTTTACTCGTGCAACTATCCCTAATAATAGGTAACCCAGTCCCAAAGCTCTACAAGCCCATTACAAAATGACACAACACGAAATAAATTGTCCAGTACCAGGCAAGTCATTGTTGAAGACTATCAAGCACTTAAGGTTAACCACCAAGAAAGATAATCTCAACCATCTTCCTTTCAATCTTAATATTCTTTTGTTTGAACACCTACAATCGTGTATTTCCCTACACACTAATAATGCAAGCCAAGTATTTCCCTACACACTACTGATACAAGTCAAAACCCGAATAACCAGGAAAATGTGGAATGAAGAGAAGAAAGTAGAACTATAGAATTTGAAATTAAAGGGGGCGATGCAGAAAATAGAGAAAGAGAGAAGTTCAATGTGTATTTTCATTTTCTATATTCCACAGAAAACAGCATATGGTTTATATGATATTTACATAAAGAACAGAAAATACCAGAAATAACAAAAATGACATCGACAAAAAATGAATTCACTTGTAAACACATAAGCTAAGCCTAATGCTAGTGTGTTTGTAGCTAATCAACTAGTCCATCATCTATGTGTGGAAAATGATCTGTAACAACTACCTTACAAGACCTGCCTAGTAAGCCTTAAAGGCTGAGAAACGTTAAAAGGTTATCACTTGACTCTCAAAACAAGGCTGCCGTTAGTCTCAATACTATTAACAATTTCACTATATTCTCAAGTTCAACCACCTTGGTTGACATAAAATGACTCAAGGATATCCTGTGCTTTTAAATGAGGGAAAATAAGAAGAGCAACTTACAAAGCCAAAAGACTACATTGCCAAATGCAAATTCAAGTCATGGGGAATAAGGAAACAATCTCTGTTACACTGGTATAGTGAAGCCATGTTTTACAAACCAAGGAGAATTCTTTTAGTCCAAGCTTCAGAAACTTACAGAACGAAAAGACTAAAAATATTGCAATATCTATCATAACTTTTTAAACCCCACACAAAGGATTATATTTTAAATGATGCTAATTATACAAATAAGCCAAAATATATGTTTTATAGTGCCTCTTTATCATTTATGGTGGCACCATGATCCACTCAAGGTTCCGAATAAACAACCAAGCTTTAAAAACATGTACATCATCCTCATTTCACAGAGACAAACATCTAGAATACAGCATTAGCCAGTTTTAAGGCAATGAAATTCAAATTTCTTAAGAGTGTGGGTGAAATCTTCTGGAACTATTCTCATAATTAGTTTTAAGATGTAAGGATGCAAATAATAGACATAAACTGTGGCAACAGCAACACTTATTTCATTTTTAAGGACCAATCTGAGGTTTTATCACTATTCATCAGCATAACTGTAACAGTATTCAAAGCTGGATGCAATGATGGATTTATTTCTCTAACTATTCTGATGAAATCAGTACAAACTTTTAGCAAGGAAACATCCAGTCAATGTAAGTTAAAACTGTCACAAACTATGGAGAAGAATTACACGAGTCGGTTAAAACTGCCTAACAAGTAAAAGGTGGGTAAATAAGCACATTCGGCAATTGATTAACTGAAAAGCTAAGTTCTGACTTGTGAAATGAAGTAAGCAGGCATCATTAGATTGAGAGGAATAAGCCGAACCTCTACAAATGCTTGCTACTAGATGGGACTGAGATAATTAGCAAATTGACCTGTAGTCCGTGAAAACAAACATCATTGGTAAAACTCATACACATATTTATACACAACTAACAACATTTTTTATTACCTGAAAAATTATTACAATATTTATTATATACACAGTAAATGCATACATTATCCGACGTTTTACTTTTTTGCTTCTAATAAATGCTAGTTGTCTACCTATGACAACATTTACCTAACGTCCTAACCAGACTAAAAACCTTCACTCCCTCACCAGATTTGTAGCTTGAGGAGATGAAATGCCTCCTAAGTATTACACTAAAGATACTGAATAAACCGATTAGCTATCTTCTAGTTTAACAAAAATTATACAAAAAGCTTAATCCAAACAACAAATTCTTGAACGCAATACCACCATTACTTCTAAAGTGATAATAGGTTGAGCTCTTGAATCATGACTCGTTGTTTATAATTTTAAGAGTTTCAATCTAAGAGAACTGCTGGAGACTGCAGAGTGTCATAAAAACTGCTAGCTAATTCTAAACTCTAGTTCACTGTAGGATTTCCAGCAAGTACTGATTACATATAAGAGCAAGGAAGAGCAGTACAACCAGATGTTCAAATAATTTAGTTTGTAGCTTAAAGTTTTTCCGATTAAAGTATCTAAGCCAATCAAGTCATGTTCAGGAAGCAACCAAGATGTATAAAACAAAGTGCCTAAACCGTAAAAAAATGCACGAAAAAAATGGAGATACCTTCGGCACAACCATTGGCATCACGGGAAAGCTTGTAAACAAAGATGGACGATGCAACCGCACTGTGAACCGGTTGAAGCGTGCTTAATTCTCGTCGAACCAACCTTCAAGAAATAACCCAAAAGAAATCAGAAATTATACGAGCCCATACAGAAAGGGGAGAAAATAACCCCGAGCATAAACGGTATCAAGAAAAAACGAAGAGTACCGAGACAGAGAGAAAGGAGAAATCCGGGTCTGATGAAGAGTGAAATTGGATCGAAGTGAAGGATTTGGAGCTTAAAACGGGATTTTGGTTCTTGTTGTTTCTGTTCGGAAAATTGGACGAAGAAAAGAAGATCTTGATGCAATAGTAGCTGCCATTTCTTTGTTCTCTCAATTGGAATTTGAAACCAGCTACGCCTACAGAGGAAAGCCTCTGCAAAACCCTGGTTTTTAGCCAACCAGTGAATTTGGTCGTTGCTTTGATTTGTTCATGGGCTTTGTTTAATATAAAATCCACCAAAGCAAGCCCATTTGGTTATACTAGGAAGTAGACTACGAGTTTCCATTTTATAAGCAAATGTTCTTTTTAAAAAAAAGCAATATAGGATAAATTATGCATTTAGTGTTTAAACTATTGGTTTTGATCCGTTTTAATATTTAAACTTTCATTTTTTTCAAAACTATACCTTTCATTTTAGTATCCATTGTTCAAAACTTAACGCGTTTAATACCTAAACTATAAATTTTTGTCTGTTTTAGTATCTAAACTTTCAAATTTTTCTCCAAAATTTAGCGTTAAATTTTGGATGGGATACCAAAATGAAACAAAAACTAAATTTAAAGTATGACTTTGAAAAAATTGAAAGCTTATGTATTAAAATGGATCAAAAATAATACTTTAGATACTAACGCATAATTTACCCAAAATATATATAGGAAAAATGATTAATTCAATTGGATATACAGTGATTTGATCCCTCAACTCTAAATCACTTAATAATACCTTTTAATAATTTTTATTATCAATTTAACATTTAGATTAACATATTATTTATTGTTGCCACTATTAAAATAAATGAACCAATTGATTGATAAGTAATGTATACGTTACACAAAATTTAGTCAATCTTTGGTCATTCTTTCTATTTAGTTCATTCGTTAGACTCTCTCACCAAACCTTAGTCTACCAACTTGTATGTTATTGTATAGTGGATTAAAAATTAGTTAACCATTTTCCCATATTTAATGGGGTAAGGGAGAGGTAGGGTAGTAGGCTACCCCCAACGCCAGGTTGAGAGCAACTTCCGTGGAAGACCTCCGTTATGAATTGCCCTCAGTGGGACTCGATCCCACGACTACAAGGTTAAGAGCCTTGAGCTCTACCAACTGAGCTAGACGGGGTGAGAGACTGATTTAAACATTTACCGTTATATGGTGAATTTTTAATCCCTCATGTTTGATTTATTTTTTATATAAAATTATTTTTGCTCGATCTTATAAGTTTGACAAGCAACATTGGACTATTTGGAAGGGTAAAGTGTTGGATTAAAATCATGTACATGAATTTTTAATGTATATAGTTATCATAAAATATGACATAAAGTGATTAATTATATTATAAAATCATAACCTATTAGAAATATCATGAAAATAAAAGTGTAAATAATATTATAGTTGTATTCATAATTTGATGATGATAAGAGTCATAATAACATATAATAATTGATTCTTAAATTAATTTAGTCAATAGAATTTATACTCAAGAGAATTTTATCTTCTGGGAAGATCTCAACCAAAGAAAGATTCAAGGATTTTAACCTATCAATTAATTAATTCAGGTACGCTTCCTGATCTAATATTTTATTCTTGAAGATTTGAAATAACTAGATCATGATTTGATTTTATATTTATTATGATTTGTGACTAACATAAAATGTTTTTCTCATTGGAACTATAGCTGTCACACCCTAAAATTAGGGTTAATATTTTAGTATTGTTAATACTTTTTTTTATTCGTACTAATCTTGCATTTGGGGCTATACTGTTAATTCGATTAATTATTTCCGCCTACTATAAATAGTTTTCCTTGGAAAGGTGGGATTTTACTTGGGCGGCTAGCTAACCGGATTTTTCAAAGTGATTTTCATTTGTATTTTAATTAGGGTAAAGTATACAAATGGTCACTAAACTTTTTCAAATGCTTGCATTTAGGTCCCCAACTTTTAAAACTTGCAATACAATCACCAAACAATTAGTTCGTTTGCAATGTGGTCCCGATGTAACGGACGTTTCATTGTCGTTATGGTAAATTATATAAATGGTCACTAAACTTTTCAGGTGTTTGCTTTTAGGCCCCCCCAACTTTTAAAACTTACAACACAATCATCAATTACATTCTAAATCCTAAATTCTAAAATAATTCAATTACATTCTAAACCTCAAATTATAAAAATACTTCAATTACATGCCCAACCCTAAATTCATAATCCATTCTCAAGATATATCATAACAAACTAAATTTGAAGCAGCAACTCTAAACCCTCAAAACATAACCATTTTGAAAAAATTTAACCAACTATAAGTGAATAATAAGTGATTATGATGGGGTTTAGGGTTATGTTGGACCTAAATACTCAATTCAGTTTATAAAATAGTTGACTCAAAATTTTTTCGATTTGAGTTTATAAAATTTAAATCAAGTTGAATTGAATTTTTGAGTTTCTGTTTAAATTTAATTATAAATATTTATCATATTATAATATTATTTGATTCTAATTCAGTTTAATTTATAAAATAGTTTAATCGATTTTTTATTTGAGTTTATAAATTTAAATCAAGTCGAATTGAATTTTCGAGTTTCTATTTAAATTTAATTATAAATATTTATAATACTATAATATTATTTGATTCTAATTTAAATAGTTTTTTAACTATATACAATACATATATTTCTTCATATTTTTTCCATATGTGGTATACATATATCATATAGAGTAAAGGGATTTGACTCAAACTTAAAAATTAATCCACTAATTACTAAAATTTTTGAGATATTCGAGTTGTATTTTTCAACTCGATTTTAACTTGAATTTTTTGTTAAGTTGAGTTTATGAAATTACAACTCAAAGCCAATTTGTATCAACTTTTTAAAATCAATTCAAGTCGAAAAATAATTTTTTCGAATCGAATTGAGTATTGTTCACTTATAGTTGGTTAAATCTAACTTTTAAATTCTAAACTCAACATAATCAATTATTGTTATGGACCCAAAATGAACTAAATGTTGGGTTAATTGGTGGGAAATTTAGCATTTAGGGTTATATTTTGAGGGTTTAGGGTTGTTGCTTCAAGTTTAGTTTTTTATGATAGATTTTGAGAATGGGTTATGAATTTGGGGTTGGGCATGTAATTGAACTATTTTGAAAGTTGAGGTTTAGAATGTAATTGAAATATTTTGGATTTTGGGGTTTAGAATGTAATTGATGAATGTGTTGCAAGTTTTAAAAGTTGGGGGACCTAAATGCAAGTGCCTAAAAACTTCAATGACTATTTATATAATTTACCCTAACGGAAGTGAAACGGCCGTTACGTCGGGGACCATATTACAAATAAACTAAATGTTTGGTGTATGTATTGCAAGTTTTAAAAGTTAGGGGATCTACATGCAAGTATTTAAAAAGTTCAGTGACCATTTGTATACTTTACCCTTTTAATTATTACGGTGATTTTGACATGTTTTCGCTTTGTGCTTTATCTAAATTCCCACGTTAATGCATTTTCTAGTGAAACGGCAAGGACCCTACTATTTTTTTTTGTAAGGAAAAGCATTGAAGTGTTAAATATCCGACGATTTCTTGATAATATCATTGGCTTCTCGAATGAGCAATCTAAAGCTTTACCAGAAAGATGTAATTAATGGTGGTTAACAAATAATTCTATTATTAAAATATAGATCTTATATATAATTTTGGGTAAATTACAAATTTCATCCGTAAACATTACTCTTTCCGTTATTTTGCTCATTAAACTTTAAAAATTTTTAATTTCTCTGCTGAACTTAATACATTGGTTTTTTTGTCACTGAACTTTACTCTCTATCATATTTTGATCACCCGTCGTTAAATAGTTAATGGCGTTAAAAATGGAGTCATTTTAAAAAAATTCACCAAAACGACATTGTTTTGTATCTATATAACAACACATTTTAATGTCGTTAACTATTTAAAGGTCGAGTGACAAAAAACTCAATGTATTAAGTTTAGTAAAAAAATTGAAAAGATTTAAAATACAGGTAGTGAAATAGGAGAGAGAAAGAGTAAAGTTCAATTACCAAATTTGTAATTTACCCTAATTATTTTAAGTTGAATCTAACTATTTTTATGCGAGGTGGGGATTTAATTATAAAATCTTTGAATGTCAAAATATAATTTTGTTATTTTAGTATTTTTACAATCTTTCAAAATATAGGCGAATAATAGAATAGTTTTACCATTTTTAATCCAAAACCCTTACTAAGTTGCATATGTAGGTTAATTTGTTGATTGTGAATTTTGCTAGAACTCACATTATTGAAAATTTGAAATTAAAAGCGGATTATTCATTAATAAAAGTTTTTTTTGAATAATTCATAAAAAAAGTTAAAAATTATTAATAGGGTTAATCATAAAAAAAAAATAAGATATTTTTTTTTCAAAAATAAAAATTATACTTTATGAAATGAAAGAAAGCAAAGCTGTCAAGAGAGGAAGGACCATCATCTCTATCTGTTAAAACAAGACACGAGTAGGGATGGACATCTAACTTGAACCCGATTTGAACCGATCAGGTCGGATTTTTTTAAAAAAAATCTCGGATTCGGGTCGGGTCGGGTCAAATTTTTTTATGTGGTATTTGGGTTAGGTTCGAATTTAGGGTGAAAAAAATCCGACCCGAGAAAAATATATAATTTTACCCTATATATTTAAGAATAATTACAATAATAACCCTCTATATATTATTTTTTTCAATTTAATCACTATTTTTATTGAATAAAAATAATTTTTTTTATTATTTCAGGTCGGGTCGAATTTTTTAAATTATCTATCGGGTCGGGTGAAAAACTAATTTTATCGGGTCAGATCGGATCACGGGTGGAGGTCCTCTTCTTCTCAAATCAGATCAGGTGAACCAAAAACCCGACCCAAACCCATCCTTAGACACGAGGTACGTCTCAGGTAACGAGTTTTCTTTCTCATTTGATACTTACGTGGCAATACCTCTTTACGATCCAATCATTTCACGCCACGTGAGCATTGAACGGCCAAGGAACGTACTACGTCACTAAAGCACAGAAGATATATATCATTTCGTGGCTATTGAAACATAAATACTAAATTACCAAAAGATGATCGGCTATGCTTTTTAGCCTTTCTCTCTCATTTATACTCGCGATTCAGTTTTCTCGGAAAATTTTAGCGAAAGCCTTGTTAGACGTGGAAGAAAGGGGAAGTTTGAGTATCTTTTGTTTTGATTCCAAAAATGGCCTCTTTGTACAGCAATAATCAGGGGAGAGATTCTTGCTTTACTAACGCGCGCTGTGGAAGATCACGTTCCAAAGCTCAAGCTTGTCTTGAAAAGATTCTTCATTTAATTTCAACTGTCCCACCGCCCAGTGAAAACGACTCAGACGCTTTCAAGAAGAGAGGGTATGATATTGATTTGAACTTAAGTTTAGGTTCTTTTCTCGAGAGTGAAGGAAAATCCGACTGTTTAGCCGAGAACAGCTTCAATGAAGAGAAAACAGGTACAGCCACAGGGACGGATGCTTCTTCCGATGTCACGGATGTTCAAAAAAGCGAAGAGTTCAAAAGCGGCACCGACGGTGAAGCTAAAACGGCGGCGGCGTTTAATGATTCAATCGATTTGCTAATAGAAGCGGCCGAGATGATTGCATCCAGGGATTATTCTATGAATGGAAAGGAAGAGGAAGTCGAAGAGGTTGAAAAATGCGGCGGCGGTGGGTCAATGGAAATGGATAAAGACAGCTCGATTAACGTTGAAGAAGAAGAAGAGTTCGAGGAAACTGAGGATACAGCGCCGCCGGTGGTTCGATCAAAGAGGGGGCGGAGTCAGGTTCTGCCACTCAGGTATAGAGACTCGGTTTTGGAGCCGTGGATGAAGCGACCACAGAGATCAACAGCTGCCGCAGTGATTTCGAAGAAGAAACGAAAGCCGAGGTAAATAATAAAATATTCAAGTAAGAGGAAAAAAGGAAAAGTGAAATTCCTTTTTACTATGGAAGGACGTTTTATGGGAGTTACTGGCTATTCGAGTGTGTATATATAATTCGCCAACGGTGAATTCAGAATCAGATTGTAGAATGTTAAGGTCTGGCGACAGTTTTTGTTTATCTTCTTTTAATTTAGTAGCGTGAATGCATGTTTCTTCATTACAAAGCTCAGTCCTTGTAGAACTGCATTGGCTGCTCGATGTCTCCAATGATTTTATAATTTCACCTGAGACCAATATATCGATACATATAATGAACATTAAACTCTAGGAAGTCTCTAAATACATGATAACATGTGTATAAAATATCTAAGTTCGAATAACACCAACTCGTAATGTATATTGTTTACATTAAATCATACCTGATCTCCATATGGCAAGATGATATTGGCAATCGTGTTCAGATTCTGTTTGTTCTAACTGTAATATATAGACATAATTAAAGTTCAAATATGTATTAGTAAAATTTATACGGTTGAATCTGACTTACTCCTTGAAGAAGAACATGATTACGTGGAAGTTCGTACCTAAATAAAGGAAAATTAGTTTAAATAAATACAGTTAAATGATAAGATGATCTTCAAGATGATAGCATGAAATATGACTACTTACACCATATGCTCTGTCCTTAACCGCCTATTTTGCTTCAGTTTAGGAGCTGTGGTCAAAGCTGCTTTTGAATTCAAAGCGATTAAAGCATTTGAAACATTGCCATCTTCAAACATAAGATTGTTCTCTTCCAAACCTTTGACATTTAGCTTGATTATATGAATTCCATCAGAATCATATTCGATCTCAGCTTCACCAAACATCGATTTCTGAGACTCCATGAATGGTGTCGATGGAGCTTAGAAAGGTTCTTCAATGATAGGCTCAGTTTGACTTTCCATATCAAAGAGAGGCTCTTCAATGACAGGCTCATAAATCTTGTCTTGATCTTCAATATCCAGAAGTTGTATAAACTCCGATGCAGATGAGAAGACATCTAGTGCTTGAGGGCATGAAGCCGAAACCGAACTTGATTTCATTTTATTACATGGGAGTGTTTTCTTTGCACTGCATTAAAATAGTTTAATATTAATATTAGAATTACGAAAAGAGTAAAATATATTTTATACACATAATACAAAACCTTGCATGTTGACTTTGAAAGTGTTAGCAATGATCCCTCATCGGACAAGCGTTGCAATTCGGTTTTACCTTGGTGCAAGTAACCTAAAAAGATTGTTTTAGGAGGTGTGAAAATCATTTAGAATCTAAAATTAAATAAAATTAGAGGGGATAACACGAGATACCTTTCCAAAGGTTATCATATGATAATGAAGTTTATACCTGTATCATACAATATGTCAAAATTTCAAAATATTAGTTAGCAAGTTTAGTTAAATCAGCAAAAATGTCTATCCAAAACTTAGGCATTACAATATTCGCTGAGGCGTGTACCAGCAAAAAAAATGATGTTCATTGGTATTTTATTTATACATATTTATTTGCTTCTTAGCATATAATGCTTACAGTTGAAGGCGATGCAAGTCAAGGTGTTCGGGAAGTGGTTTGAGAGGAACCCATCCCAGACGAACAACGATACGAGTAACGTTTACATCAACCTTGTGGAAGAAAAGATAAAAACTTTAAGTGTGCAGATTAGTTACATTGAAAAAGAAATTATATAAGTTTAGATATCTTACCGGAAAAGCAACTTGTTCTAGTGATAGAAGCCGTATGCACTCCACACTTTTCAACCCCAGTCCATTTACTTCCAACAGGTATCGCCTATCAGTAAATGAAAAATCATGTAAGCACATGCATATTAATGTTTTCAGATTCAATCAATTTGTTGGCTTACTTTGCTAAATCTGGAGTGTTGTTTTGTAGCCATTCTAGATCAAGACAATTGTGTAAACTAACCACTCGATTGAGTAAGTTCTGAGAAGTAAAAGATTTGGAAGAGTATGAATCATGCAAAACAAGTTATTTATGATGTATAATTTTTCTTACCTGGATTGTTTTTGCTAGTATGTTATGTTGGCCCCGGTCTTAACATCTGAAAGCTTGACTGCCTCCCAGTTCACTGCATCCATTTGATCATTACTTCTTCACCGGTGGAATATTGTACCCATACACTCTCCCAATCAATCTCTTCTTCCTTCGAATCAATTTCCTCCTTTGAAGTAGATTTTCTCTTACCAAAACCCAAGTTTAAGTAATTATGCTCCTTTAATCTTGATATTTTCAAACGAGCTCCTTTTGGAATTTTAGTATATTGACTTTGCACCATGAATACACAAGCACCATTGAGGCTTTCAGTAGAATTCGTACTTGTCCTGACCACATGAAAACAATCTTTGCAATCGTTGTTCATTCTTGTTTCTTCCAATTCATCAATCAAATCATCTGTTGCTTCCTCAAATTCTTTGTCTCTTTCATGTCCAGGTTCAGTTACAAAGTATTGAAGACCTTCTGCATCATATCCAATCATGTATTCCTCACTAACTCTTGACTATAACATGGATCATTCTCGGTTGCTATTGGTTTTGGAGGGAACTTTGCAGCTAGCGACATAAAAGCATTACTATCAAGAAAGCATTGGATTAGTTTTATATCATTTTTAATTAGTAGATACAAATAAAAGTTTAGTATATTACCTTGAAGCTGCATCTGTTAAGTTCTGTGTTAAGATAACTCCGATCACTGAATCCAAAACTGAACCTTTCCATTTCCTAAAGCTTCTGTCCCCTATCAATAAGACAAATATTGGCATATTCATTAGAATTGTGATAGATACTGTAGGAATAAGCTGTTTATCAGCAGTCATTTACCTTGTATGGGCTGCAAACGGGCAATAAATGAGGCTATTCGTCCAGCAAAAACTTCTCTATCTTTTCCCCAACACATATTCTTATCATCACTTGTTTCAAATTTTGTCCAATCGACATCTATCCCCACTAACAAGTTCCATTCTCTCAGTCTCCGGATCTAGATCAACTTTTGGTACTCTTTTATCAAAAGGTTGAAATGGCCCTTGGTATGGAACCAATGTGTTATCACTGATGTGCAAAGTTTGCATTTCATGAATCATTAAATCAATATTCTTTTTGATCGAGGTTCCCCTTCGGCCTGCATCAAATACAATCTATATTTTACTATTTTTGAGATTAAATTCAAAGAAAGACGTCTGTTTATTTGTTCTTACCTCTCGATTTGAGAGTGGCTTTTAGTGTGCTTGCTCTTTTTTGCTTTCTCTTGCCAATAATCTTTTCTGATAAATCCATCTTATCATGTGTTTTGGCATCTACATCAGTGACCTGAAGCATATATTATTCAAACATATCAATGAATGAAGATTCTCATAAGCAGCAGTAGTATAAGTATGGGAAACTTATATAATAATACTGGAGTTGGAGTTGGAGTTGGAATTTGAGTGAGTTGGAATTATTGTGGCCTCTTCATTTGCATCCTTCTTTTCCTCGAAAACCATTTAACATTAAATAGCGTTCTCTTGTCAGTAATCATTGCTGATAAATCCATCTCATCATCTGTTCTAGCATCTACATCAGTAACCTGAAGTATATAATATGATGAATAAAGATTATTATAAGCCGCAGTAGTATAAGTATGGGAAACTTATATAGTAATACCGGAGTTGGAGTTTAAGTGAGTTCTAATTCTTACCTTTTGTGGCCTCTTCTTTTGTATCCTTCTTTTCTTCGAAAACCAATTAACATTAAATAGTTTTCTTTGCTTGACACATTTTCTCACACTCTTAACCAATAAAACGAACAAATTCAGTCTCTTCCTCCTTTTGGACCTTTTCCTGGTCGGGAAACTAAGAGAATCAAACTCCATAGGTCTATCGTCCAAACTCTCCAATCGTAAATCCAAAGCCCTTGCAATGGGTGCTTTCGTTTCATTGATCTTAGACTTCTTTTCCTTACCTTGCTTTGCAAGCTTCGGTTTCTTTTCCTTGGCTGGCTTTGCAGTTGCAAACTTTGGTTTCCTTTCCCTTGCTTGCTTTGGGGTGGTTGGTTTGGCATCATGTACGACCTTCGGCCAGTGTATCTTCCTTTTCGGTTTCAGATGTTTCTTCGAATTCAAGCAATCATTAGCAAGAATTTGATCATAAGATACACTCTCCCGCATAAATCCATTATCTGAGCCCAAAATTAACTATATCAATATAATAAGAAATCAGTAACACATCAATAGGAAATTGAAGTACAGAATCAGTGATTTTTATCCACCAATGGCAGCACAGAACCTTATGACATTGCATAAGGCTGAGAAGCTTTAGGCTCAAGAAAGCATGAGAGCTCCTAGAAAGGACAAACTACCGAATTCCGATAATCAAAACCTTTATCCAAGGTATTTAAAACTTCAATGGCACCGGTTGAAACTAAACATGTTGATGAAGAATTAAAACCATCATCGCATCCATGACCCGAAATTATCCCTTCAATCGCATTAAAGCTAACTTCATTTTCATTGCTTGTGACAGTGGACTCCAAGCATAAGTTTTTTATTCCATCAAAGCTATGGACTTTCAAATGTAAGCCTGGAGCAGAACATTTTTCTTTTTCGTCGCAGTCATTCAACACATTCACCGTGACTGGAGAATCCGATGAAATTTTCAAATCTAGTTTGCGCACTGATCCCAGACTTAAGTTCTCGGCCTCTTCTTTGTCTGACAACGCCATGCAAGGACCAAACAAAACATCGGTTTTTTCATTTGAAACCGAACAACATTGTTCTTTTCTTCTGAAAGTAGGCTCTTTTGGGTTCACGGAAACCGGACAACATTGATCAAACAAAACTTCTTTCATCTCTGTTCTTGTTGGGAAAGTAGGCTCTTTTGGGATCATAGAAACCGAACAACATTGATCACAAAAAACTTCTTTTATCTCTGATCTTGTTGGGAAAGTAGTCTCTCTTGGGGTCACAGAAACTGAAAAACACCGTTCTTTTCTTTTGCGTTTTCTCACGTACACTCTATACTCGGACATATTTCAAGGAATCAAACTAAAACGATCAGAATTCTGCTAACTCAGACAAAGCAACAATCAACCTAAAACGACATGAATACTACCGAGTAAAAGTGAAATCTGGAAAAGAAAAGGGAAAGGAAAAAAAACAGAGGAATGAGGGGAATACAGTTGTTCAGCAAAGGAGATTCCTGTTAGAAATCGTTTGCCGTTTTTAGCAATTATGATATACCCCATGCTAGGGTTTTTTTATTAGTAAGATGTGCTTTTATCTTATCAATTAGGATTTTGAAATACCCCAAATGTATTTTTTCAATTTTTTTTCTTAACCTCGAAAATAAAAGAAAATAAAAAAAATGTTATCATTGTAAAAAAAGTATAGTGCAATAATTTTAATTTGAAAATTATAAAGCATTAATGAAACCAAGATCTATAAAGAATGTGTGATGAGACAATAGATTCTTTAAGCAAGGTCGGAAGTTTAAAATCTGTCAATTATGAATTGATCAAATTAGGTTGGGAGGATCACCCTTGTCTTTGCAGTACCTGATCCGGATTAATCGATCAATAGATTGAATAAACGTGGATATACTCTAAAAATATATATAAGGAAGAAAACTGTTTGATTTAAATTTTTATTATGGAATTCTTTTGAGACATGGGGTTGAGGTGCACAATGAAGTTCTATTATGTAATGCTTTTTTTATTTCATACAAAAATTATTCCCCCTTTCTGTCTTCCCTTCTTAATTTATGTTCTTAATTATATTAGGAGCTTATTAAAGTTATATGTTAAGTTGTGATGCCGCTTGTTTTGCTCTAAATTCAAATTTTTGTTCATCCCTATCACTTGGTTATAGTTGATTTTGGATGAAAATTTGATGTTATCTTTTCACAATTTTCACTATTGTCAGGAGTTTAAAGAAGGCTATTTAACTATAATATGTTATTTTACATACTCAAAGAAATTATTTTAATGTGGGTATTGATAATTTTGTCTCGTCAGATTCTAGGTTTGAGGCCTTTAGACTATACAATTATCAGTGTAATTATGCAGATGCACTGGATAGGAAAGGAGGTGGAGGTCACAGGGTGCCTATTCTAGTTAATCATGTCAATGCAGGACCAAGATGTAAATATGCAAAATAGCACGTATGCATTCCAAACATAACTGTTCTTTCTATCAACTGATGTGTTAGTCTTCGATTTAATGCTACGGTTTCTAACATTTTTTTATTTGATCTCTGACTTATTTACAGTGATCTATGACTTCAGATACCTGAATCAAGTTTGGACAGTGTTTCTTAAGAACACTGGTTGTCATGTTCAAACTAATGTGCTCTTATCATGAAATCATGGTCTTTCAGCAGGAGAATAAGGCCAATTTGAATCTTACTGTTTCTCACTTGTTTATGTATAATATTTGTTGTAAGTGGTGCTCTCTAACTTTGCATTGCTGCAAAATCTAGAGTACCCAAGGCCAGGAAATATAATTCATTAACTTGTATGAGAGAGCTGAGTTAACAACAATTTGTGCCAGCTCCAAGGAATTTTACGGTGAGGAATATGATTAAGCAAAATATATATCTTCATATTGTATTGTCAAATTCAATTTCATGATCAATAGATAGGGCTGTAAACGAGTCAATTCGAGTCAGAACATGTCATGTTCCATCAACGCACTAAACGGGTTATACGATATCTCTGGTATGGAAGTAAGCTAACATTTTTATTGGCAAAAAGGAGGTTTCCAAGTCCAAGCCCAAGTAGTTATACTACTTGGGTTGTAATTGCCATCTTATTAGGTTCCGCCGAGTATTATTAAATTCGATTCGAAAACTCTAAAATAAAATTCGATTTGACTCAAAAATTCACGAGCATAAAATTTTCAAACTCAACTCAAACTCATGAATTGAAACTGAAAATACTAAAAAATAAAATAAATCTTAAACTTAACTCAATTAAATCCTTAAACTCAAACTCGAACTTAGATTTTAAATACATGAAAAATTTTATATTACATTTTTAAAAAATCAACATATAAATGTTTCAACTCATTAAGAACTCGAACTAAGCTCAAACTCGAGTTAAGTCCATTCAAGTCAAGTATTTATCGACCTTTGACCAAAACGATCTCATGTTGCTCACAATCTGTCTCATGTCATTTACAACCCTATAAATAAAGTTATTTTGGCTTTTAACCTGCCGAGAACCTCTGCAATTGAGTGAACCTTAGAGACAATAACATAAGATTTATAGAACTAATATTAAACCATGTTCAATCTATATAGTTTGAATGACATTGAATAATATTTTGAAGGGGTACGCACAAATAAGCTAAACTTCAACGAAGTTCAAAATTCTCCTTGAATAAAAACATAAACCTTAATCTCGAAGACCTTTAATGTAAAATGGAACAAAAAATGAGGCAAACAGTACACCATAAAACATAATGTTCTTAAAATCATTAAAGGGAAACACCGCCGCAAAAGTTTGTTTAAACCTTAAATCTCCCATTGACTAACCAACTTCTATCAAAAACACAAGACAAGAGATGCCTCACTCCCTCAAAATTAGACATGCACATTAGAGCATGTCAACCCAACCTCATTTGCCACCATGCTTTGCCTTCTTGTGGGATCCTAGACCGCCAGACTTTGGAGTCTTTGCTGAATTTTTCCCAGCTTGCTTCCCTGGATGCGGTGTTGCTGTATGGCCACCCTTCTTACCATCTGCTGCTACAATTGCAAGCAATTATAATCAGAAGATAAAAAAATGAACAGTCCAGTACTGGTAACAAAAGCATGTAGTCGATATGAAGTGGTATAAATGACACATGATACTACTGATTTTCAAGCCTAAAACGAGAATGACCTGACTTCTGGGGTGAAACTGCAGATTTAGCCTTTTTTGAAGCAGGGGTTGCAGTTTCCACAGGTCTATTCTTGCTTGACTCGACCTTGAAAAGATGAAAACACGAATTACAGCTATGGAATCAGGTAAGATTCAACAATCCAAAAGATCATTTCTATATTATATCAAAGATACCTTCTTAGGTGTCTCTTCATCCTCTTCATCTGAACTTTCATCCATAGACATCTGTTCATAAAAATAAATCAAGTAACAAAAAAGATAATACAAAAAAGAAACAGGTAACAAACAACTCATAGACCAATCAGACCAGATATCAGAAGCAGTAAAACAAATGGATTGAAATTTTCAGCCAAGTTATGATAAGAAACCTCATCAGGCTCATCTTCATCCTCAGAATCATCTGAGTCATCAGAATCACTTTCATCCTCTGAATCATCATCATCCTCAGTTTTCTTGCTAGGTTCTGCAGTTTTCTTGCTAGGTTCTGCTATCTTGACAGCTTGTTTGACAGCTTCTGGTTTCCGAGCATCGGTTTTGGCTGTTTTCACATCTGTCTTCGCATCTGTCTTGGATTTTCCTGGAGCAAGTAAGAAAACGTTAAACAATTGAAATATGAAATAATCAAATCTTCAACCATTGATATAAATCACAGCACAGAAAGAGAAATTACCATTTTCTGCAGCAACCAGAGGAATCTCCTCCTCATCGCTACTTTCTTCACTAGATATATCTGTAAATAACAATAACAAACATGAGAAATAACAAAATAGACAAAATTGCAAGCAGGACAAATTTTATTTGAGGCCTCACCAAAATCATCAGTGGCGACAGAAGAGATAAAAAAAAGTCAAGGAAGCACAAGACTGAACAAGAACACTTATATTTATTTAAAAACAAAAGCACGGTAACTAAGAAAATAAGTAAATTCATTTCTATTAATAAAAGGATATCCTTCCTCTGGAATATAAGTTTTGTAACCGAGGAAAAAGACACTCCCATTTTTCCAGTTGTGAGAAAGCTCAAACTCTTGGTCAAATACAAGATCAAAAGATAACTGGGGGCAATTCTGGTGGGAAAGCGTTCCAAGAACGAGTTTCTTCCCATCAGCATTCACATAGAGTGGAACAGATTCTGCCTTGTTCTTCGCCTCACCAAGTGACGCCTAAAACATTAAAAATAAGAAAAATCAACCATATTTATGAATACAAACTCCATTAACTAAATAACCTCAAACCTGGGAAAGATGGATGACGTAATCAGCACCAGGGTCTGATTTGATAGGCTGTCCAGCCTTAACTTCAATACCTAATAGTAACACAATAGGTGATCAAATTCAATTGTTCAAACTAAAAACAAAATATCACCAAATGAAGAGATCTTAAAACATTATATACAAAAAACAGACGTAAATGACCAATCTAATCAAGCTTCCATTCAATGACAAAGATGAAGTGAACCTAGAATACTTTAACTTGCATTTGTGAAATGATACTAATAAACATAACTAGCGATACGAGAAAATATTAAAAAATCTCTTAAAACAATGTAACTAACATGTATTGACAGTGAAAAGGAGAAAAAATCCAATAAAAAATATCAAAGCTTCCAGAAAATAACTATTAAAGAAATGTAACAAAAAGAAAAAGAAATAGCAATAGTGTTCAAATAAAACAACACTGAGCAACACAAAAGAAGAAAAAAAGAGAGATGAAGGCAAAAGCTCAAACCAAAAAATAATGAAAAGAGAAAGGAGCTTACCCCAGAACTCCATAGAGAATAGGCTTAGGGTTTTGGAAGGAGAAAAACAAGCGATGGAAACAAAGAAATACTCCTTCCGAAGAGGCTGTCAAGACTGTGTCGCTGAGATGAATTTATAATCAAATTGCCGCCTGTTTGCGATTATTCAATTTCTAGGGTTTCTTTTTATGGATTGTTTGGTTTTGGAGGCTTTATTTTCTGAACCTTGGACCTCAAAAAAATAATCGGACCCAATCAATATTTTAAATGACACGGGCTTTGGGCTATATGTTTAATTAAGCTAGTCAATGTTTTAATCAATAATAATGCATTGTAAAACTATAAAAGCCCATCATTTAAACTCCTGTTAAAAAATTAACCTACTCAATTTTTTTTATTCTTAAAAAGTTGATATTTATATTTTATAGTTTCTTGAATTATTTTTTTAAGGTAAACTACTTAAATGACCATCTAATTATAGGGTTGGTATCGATATGATCATCCTTTTTAAAATTTTGTCAATATGACCATTTAACTATTTAATTGATTTTAGGCCTCTAAACGAACCGAACGAACACGAACGGGGGTATGTTCATGTTTGTTCGTTTAACTTTAACAGAATAAATGAACGAACACGAACATAAACGAACAAAAAAATTCTTGTTTGTGTTCGTTCGTTAAGGAATGTAGCTTGTTCGTGTTTGTTCATGTTCGTTCATTTAAGTGATAAACGAACACAAATGAACAAACATAAACGAACGGATGTAAACAAACATAAACGAACACAAACGAACGAACGTAAATGAACACAATAAATGAACATAAACGAATGTAAAACGAACATAATTGGAAATGTATGTATTTTTCCTTTTCTAACAATTTTAGGATTATATTTCATTTAATTTTTTGAGTTTCTTATTTGTATTTAAAATTAGTTGAATTTTAAAATATTTATAGGTATCAGATTAAAATTTATTGGACTTTAATATTTTAAATGGATATGAGATAAACATAAATGAACACACATAAACAAACATAAACGAACGAACATAAACAAACGAACATAAATGAACGAACATAAACGAACATAAATGAACGAACATATTACCGAACGTAAATGAACGAACAAGCCCTCTGTTCATGTTCGTTCATTTAGTTAAAAAACACAAAATCTTGTTCATGTTCGTCCATTTAATAAGTAAACGAACTTCCCGCCGAACGGTTCACGAACAGTTCGTTGAACGTTTGATTCGTTTACATGCCTAATTGGTTTCAAAATCACCACATGTGTTAACATTTAACGGGAGTATTTATGGACATGGTATTGTTAATAAAATTGATATAATTACATATTTGAACCTTAATACTTGTACATTTAATCAATTTGGTTCCAATTTTTATTTAATTTTTTCTCTAAAGTATTCAAGGTCTCATAGTTAAATTCTTTTATATGGTAATTTGTCAATGTATTTAGAACTACTCAAACTGAGAATTTTTAAGGAAAATAATTTATCATATTATTAAAAATAATATTTATATTAAATTATAATTACAACTAATTATATTTATTTAAAAACTATATTATTTATAATATAAATTATAAAATTTTATAAAATTAGTTAAAGTATATTAATTTCACAAATATTATTTATTAATGGATAACTTTAATAATTTTAATATATATATTTTTAAAATTTCAATGAAAAAAAATCCAACTTTTTAGTCATGTTGCTGTAGTTTAAGCATAAAAACTAAAAAGTTTGAACAAGAAAATTCCGACGCTCACTCCCCGAGTCACGACTCTACAAGAGAACCGCCTCATTGGCCCATTGCCTAAACTATTATGAACTCAGATGACCGGTTCTTCAATTGCTACTGCTACACTAAAACATCCAAAAGTCTTTCAAAAAAGCCCAAAAATCAACAAAAGCGTCACATTTCTTATTTTATCATCTACCGACGAAATTTCAACCAGATAGTCCCCTATTGAAAAATTAACAAATCTAATGTAATAAACTTCACTCCCTCAAATTTCCTTGACTTCCCATCCGATCCCGTAAAAGGAATAAAAAGGAAAGCAGATCCGTGGAAAGGAAAGAAAAAGGGGAAGGCGTTTTTAAAACGGTGATGTGTGTTTTTGATCTGGAGCTGAAATGAAATGCAGCAGCCGAATCTGTTCCCGTTCGGAAGCCTTTTGGGGAATCCGTTTTTATTGAATGGCGGCGTTGGCGATTTAAGCGACGGTGGATTTGAGAGCTCTAGGGTTTTCTTCTTGGTTCCTTTTTTGCTATCCCAAGGAGGTGGAATGGATTTGTCCAAGGTTGGGGAAAAACTCCTCAGCTCCGTGCGTTCCGCGCGATCACTTGGTCTCTTGCCTTCTGCTCCTTCTTCTGATCGGCCTGATGTAAGTAGTGTAGCTCAAGGCTTACTTAATCCTTGAATGTTTTGATTATGGAGTTTTTTTGCAGGATTCTTTATAGACGCTTAATCCACTGCATTTGATTAGTTTTGTTAAATTTGACACTAGTTATAAATTAGTGTTACTTTGATGAAGTTTAGTTGGATTTGATCGGAAGTGAAATTAGTTTTGTCACTGGACTTGCCAGAAATTCTGCGCTTTAAAAAAAATTGCTATAAAGTAAAAGTAGATGGACAATGAACATAGAATGCGACTGAATTCTTAGATAATTGTTCAATATAAAATCGAAGTCCTGTATTCTGTGCTTGGTAAAACTGCATTTTAATTTTCTTAAGAAAACAATGTTCGGTTTTTATATCCGTCTTTTGGTTTTGGGAGGCAAAATTTAGGTATCAAAAGTTATTACCAAATGGTCTCCATCAAAAACATAGTAGTAGATAGAACTAGGTATAGATTTTTATGTTTTTAAGCCAACAGTTCGTTGGGTTTTGTGGTTTATATCATTATATGTTACTCATAGAACTATATCTCTGTTATTTTGTATGGTATGATCGATCCTCCTGATCATGCCAAACTCAAAATGAGCTGCATTTTAAGTGACTTAAAGTTTTGCTTGGTTGTTTCTTTTTGTTCCCTCAAAAAAAATTGCTATAAAGTAATAGTAGATGGATAATGAACATAGAATGTGACTGGATTCTTAGGAAATTGTTCAATATAAAATTGAAATAATGTGTTGTGTGCTGGACGAGACGACATTTTGATTTTTAAATCTTAAGAATACATTGTTTGCTTTTTATATCCGTCTTTTGGTTTTGGGAGGCAAAAGTTAGGTACCAACTACCAAAAGTTATTACCAAATGGTCTCCATCAAAAACATAGCAGTAGATGGAACTAGGTATAATTTTTTTTTAATGTTTTTAAGCCAACAGTTTGCTGGGCTTTATGGTTTATATGTTACTCGTAGAACTATATCTCTGTACTTCTGTATACTATGATCAATTCTTCTGATTATTTCCAAATTCAAATGAGTCGTGATTTGTGTTGAACAAAAAACGTAATTATTTGTGAAATTTTGATCCTATGTTATTTATCATCTTACAGGTTCCAGCTCGAGCTGCAGCAGCTGCTGCTGTTGCTCGTGCTCTTTCAGGATTGCCAGCTGATCAGAGATATAATCTTCCATCGAGTTCTGAAGAATTGATGTCAATATATGGAAGCAAACCTCAGAGTCAAATAGTAGAAGAAGTAGAGGAAGAATTCTACGAGGAGGTATTTTTTGGATTTTTTATGCATAGGTGTATTATTTTTTTTTATAAGAAGAGAAGGCCTCGTAAAAACCTCCTTCATGATTAATGGAACACCACAAGGTGCTCCTTAATCAGCGGAAGGAGGAAAAGAGTGCCTTAGAATTCATTAATAGCCGAAAGATACATAAAGTTTAAAAACAAACATAAACACTCCCTTTACAATAACAAACCCAAAGCATAAAAATCAACCTAAACAAAACAGTGAAACTAGCCAATACCAACCTTAGCTAAGCTATCAACCTCAATATTGGCTGACCTAGCAACCCATCTAAGAACACCCTCCAAATCTCTCAACCTAGCACCGATGTCTTTCACTAGATCTAAGTAGACAAAAGGACAACAATCAAAATTCTTAACCCAATCCACAGCTAGTTTACTGTCACTTTCAACAATCAAACGTTCCTTGCAAAGCTGTTGGATCGAATCAAAGAAAATTAAGCCCTTCTTAATTGCCTTAAGCTCCATCAAAATAGGAAGACCTGGGCCAGCAGCCTCTTGGAAAGAACCCGTCACTGAGCCATCCTCAACTCTTAGTGTCTATAATTTGAAACTAGTGTCTATAGTGCAATACAAAATCAATGGAGTTATATTTATTTATTTTATAAGAATTGGAGGTCTCGTTAAAACCCCCCTCTTAATTGCCAATAGACCTTGGGTTTAGCAGCAACTAGTGGAAGGAGGAAAAGAGTACCCCAACATTTATTAATATGTAATGAAACACATGGATTTTGAGTACAACGAAATCCCTGAAAACTTCACAACAGAACACACCCCTTACAAATCACCTCTTCCTAACAAAATAACCCAATGGTACTGATTCCTGCTTTGGCTAGGCTATCTGCTTCTACATTAGCAATCCTAGAGATAACACGAAGAATCACTCCTCTCTCCATCACCCTATCAATAATATCCCTAACCATACTGTCGTAAATAGCTAGACATGAAGCTGGATTCTTAATCCAATCAACACAAATCTTGTTGTCACTTTTTAATATCAAATGTCTTTTAGAGCTCCACGCGGATTGTTCAAACATAATTAAACCTTTTTTTATTGCCACTAGCTCTGATAATGCAGGGGTCCAGGCCTGAAGCTTCCGAGAAAAACCACAAAACCCTACTAGAATGGTCACGGAGTAAGCCTCCAATACCACTAGTTTTCCAGTCACCCGTTACCGCTCCGTCCACATTAAGTTTAAAAAACCCCAAAGGGGGAGGTCTCCAAGGGGAAGATGAATATGCTAAGGACCTCGGAATTGTGCAGGAATATGTTAAAGAAGGATTGCCAATAAAGGTATCCATATGAATGGGAATTTTGGGGTTCTTTGCCTTGAACCACATCGTTGCTCTGTACCTAGCAAGGAAGAATAGTTGAGAAGGGTCATGAGCTACTTCCTCAAACACAATCTCGTTCCTATGTTTCCAAATTGTCCAAAGAACAACCCTTGGATTGAGGAACCAGACCTCTCCAATCCATAATGAAAGCTTTAGCCTCTATATGAAAGACCGAAGAAACTCCCAAAAAATTCAGAAATTTGTTCCATAAGTTCCATACTGTTTGGCAAGAGAAGAAAAGATGCGAAGACATTTCCTGTACTAGCCCGTACAAAGGACATAACAGATCACCTATCCGTTGTACCCCTTTGTTCAATAGCTCAACCCTCACCACCAATATTTTGTAAAATGACCTGCCACATAAAAGTCTCTACCCGAGGAGGGACTAGTCCTCGCCAATGGTGATTCCTCCATAACTGATCCTCTCCCATCTCTCTCGAAAACATACTAATACATATCTTCACCGAGTACTCGCCTTCACTATTCCCTCTCCATATTAGATAATCATTGGAGGATTTTCCAAAACTGAAATTCTCCAACAATGTCATTAACTCTATCCGTTGATCAAACTCCCAGTCGATTAGGTTCCTACGCAACGCCACATTCCAAGACCATCGGGATGAATTCAGTGTACCAAGATCATCAATTCTTCCTTCTTTATTTACTGAAAGAGTGAAAAGTCTAGGGAAGAGAAATTTCAGAGGGGTTTCCATCAGCCATGGATCCTGTCAGAATCGGATCGACTTCCCATAACCTACTTGAAACTGTAGGTGTTTACAAAGGCACTTACCAAAGTCATCAAACATAAAGTAGTTGTTTACAACCCCCCTCCAAATCCAGGAGCCTTGAGCTCTTCTTGCAGAGTTCAACACCAGGGAACTATCATCGAGATTATACGTACAACATATCAACTTTTTCCACCATGTATCCTCATTCGCAAATTTCCATGACCACTTTCTTAAAAGGGTTCTGTTCATTAAATTGAGGTCATTCACTCCTAGACCTCCACAAAATTTTGGCTTACATACAACCGCCCAATTAATCCAGTGAATTTTGTTCTTCTCTTGTCCTCCACCTCTTGGATTCTTCCTTTAGCACCTTTCCCCGCTCGGTTCAACTTATACTTAGCGGCTCCTACTGAAACACTCTTCCCATCAATTCACAACCCATTAACTTTCGCTATCGCATTAAGAGAGTCTTTCTCTTTGGCAAACTGAACAAAAGCAAAGCTGTAATCTTTGTTTCTAGTTCTTTTGTTAACACTCGGAATGAAGACCTTAATGACCTTTCGACGGTAGTTGAATAGTTCCCAAAGAGCTTTCCTAGTCACTCTTCTACTAAGGTTGTCCACGAAAACAGTCCAGTCTCCCTCGGAGGAAGATGGTCTTTTCGAATTCTCTCTCCCTCGTTTCCTAGGATTCTCTCTCACTAGCTCTCTCAATGTTTCTTTTTTGGATGGTGGAGTTATTTTTATAAATTCATCTTCTTTTAGTCATCTAAATAATTAAGCTGAACTTAAAGGAGTGGTTCTCATTGCTATTTTTTAACCTTTATTCTTGTCAATATTTCTTTGTTGACGTATTTCTTCACCATTTTCCTTCTGTCTATATTAATCATATTCTAAAGTATAAGCCATGCTTCAAGGAGACGAGAAAGGACTGTTCTGTTATAGTCTGCATGCTGTTTCTTGCTTTTTATTTATTTATTTTCAACATGTGATTTTGAAATCTGAAGAAAGAAGGAAGGAAAAAGAGGTGGGATTGGGAAGGAGCAGTACTACTGTAGTTCATTGGAAGCAAACTAGAGTAGTTCCAAAAGGGAAACAGAAAAACTAGTGTGTAGCTTCTCTTTTATATTCTACTGAGCATGTTGGTTTTGTTATTTATGTTCCTGTATATTTACCTTTTCAATCTGTGGCAGATGTTTGATCCAATAAAACACGTCCTGGAGCATATCCCTTCTGAAGAAAATGAACTAGAATATTTTGAGAGACAGGTATTTTGGTTTAGTTTTCTTATTTTAGCTTTTTAAGTAGATTCTTTTATTCTGTTATTTTTTTCTTCCATTTGAGCACCTCGATTATCTATGTTGTTGAATATTAGACTTTAATGGGTTATCTTTTTCTCTCTTGGTGCTTTGATCCCTCCAATATCGTCTAACTACAATCCACTACAATATTTAGATTTTTACTACAATATTTAGATTTCTGAAGCCTGTTGTTCTAATTGTGAGGATTTTTTTTATAATTTTTTCTGGTATCCTTGTTAGTAAGTGCCTAGTGTAAGCAATGCATATGATTATGTTTTCTGTCTCTGTTCGTTGCTTATCATTATTTGTGTGAACACACTGGTAAAGATTAGGGAATATAATCAAGACGTCTGATAATAACAAAAAATATTTGGGTTTTTTATCAATTGCCTAAGCAATTGTGGACCAAAGATCCTAGGATTTACTTTGCGCCAGTGTAAATATGTCCAAGATTCTGCCTTTTTCATATACGCGTAACTGTTCTTTTGCTTCCCTGTTTTAGGTTTTTTTAAGCTTATAGAGGTGGATTTGTGTGATTTTATAAAAGTTATGACAACGGGGAGGTATACTGTTCGCTAGGCTTTGGTGATGTTTATGATTCTATTGGTTACCTTTATGGATGTCAGCCCATTGATAAAAATGTCTTTTTGTCTGAAAGTATATAAAATCATACATCACATGTTAAATATGGTTGATGCATTTCACCAGTAATGGAAATTACATGATAAGTTTTTAAACGAGGAGCTGGTGAAAAAGCTAGAGAAGGATGTTGTGTTATCCATTGTTTTGTAATGATGTTTTTTCTCCCGGGGTACTCCAATGGATTGCCATCAGAAAGCTTTGTTCTTTTTCTGGAATTTTCATTAAATTATATATTTAGCCACGCGTCTTCATCTCTTTGTAGGCCACACTTAGATTAGCTCAACTGGATAGAGTAGCAGAACATTTATCCCGCAATGTCATGGAGCATCATGAAGTAATGGGTAAGTTTCCTAGTGTTTGATCTGCTATATAGCCTCTATTTATGAACCATCTGATTTTATTTTATAGGTGTACAAGTTGTGCTCCTCTATCTATCATTAAAATGAGAAGTGTGTTTTTTTGCATCTTTGAATGAAATTTCCGACTATGATATATAGAGTATCAATCATCTGAATTCTTTCTCTAATCTCTAGACATCAAGATTTATGTATATATTTACTAAAGTTGGTCTCCTGACTGGTTATTAATTGAAGAATAAAGATGGAGGTTTAGTAATTGGTTTTATTGGTTCTTGTATTGGTTTGATTTGTTGTAGTATTGGTTTTATTGGTTCCTGTATCAAAATATATTTATGCATTTCTGTGAATGGTTAAAAGATGTATTGTGTTATGGTTTGCGATTCTTTAGTTTTTGTTGTGTGAACTATGGTGAGGTTTAAAGAATTTCAGAATTCATTGTCTCTCCTTTGAGTGAGATCTTGATACTTGCTTTTGGCCAGTGAAGGGTATGCATTTGGTCAGTGAATTGGAGAAAGACTTAAAGATTGCAAATGTCATCTGTAGGGTAAGATTTGCATGGTAACATGGTTTCATGTATGATATTTTAAAGAACCTCATGGAAAATGTCAGATTATTGTTTCTTCTTTTTCCCAGTTCGTGGTGTTTCTATTTATTACAGTAGATATTTACTGTAAAACTGTTATGTTGCTACTGAATCTGTTTCTCATTTGAGTTTTTGTTGTTTGCAGAATGGCAGAAGGCATCTAAACTCATCAATGAACGAGGTTTCAAGGGACCTTGTTGTAAATACTGATTCCAAGAAAAAACAGGCTCTTATGGTAAATTCTCAACCTTCGCAATGCAGACCTTTAATTGCGGCTATATCATAATATCTTTTGGCTTTTTTTGTTTATAAATCATAATATTTTTTAAGCTTTCCTTTTTGTTCATTATATCTTTTAGCTTTCTGGGAGAAAAGTATAGAGTTTTCATAATCTTCATGTTTCTCATTGCAGCACTTGCTTCCAGTACTTGCTGAGCTTCTTCATGCACGGGATATGCAAGTAGCTCTTGAGTCTCTTGTTGAGGAAGGTAATTTCTGCAAGGTGAGTTCCCTGTAAAATTAGTTAAATTACCCTTGTGATTCTTCGGTTTGTTTTTTTACCTCAATTTACTTCATCATGATTATATCTCAAAAGAGTCGTTTCGTATATGTTTGTGTTCAGGCATTTCAAGTACTATCTGAGTATTTACAACTACTAGACAGTTTATCGGAGCTCTCAGCAATACAAGAGATGAGCCATGGGGTTGAGGTACACATTAAAGTTCTATTATGTAACTATTTTGTATTTCATACAAAAGTTGTTCTCCTTTTCTGTCTTCCTCTCTTAATTTCTGTTGTTAATTATATTAAGAGGTTATGAAAGCTATATGTTAAATTGCAATGATGCATCTTTTGATCTAAAATCTATTTTTTGCTCATTCTTACCACTAGATTATAGTTGATTTTGGATTAAAATTTGAAAGTAAGCTTTCTTTTCACAATTTTAAATACTAATGCAGGTTTGGCTCGGAAGGACTCTTCAAAAGCTGGATTCTCTCTTGTTAGGAGTTTGTCAGGAGTTTAAAGAAGAAGGCTATTTAACCGTCAGTTATTTATTCTCTGCCCCTTGTTCTTGATACCTGGTGCATGTATGAAGTCATTGATATCAACTTTTTAGATGATTTATGCATTGCTTTTTTCATAGATGATAACCTCATAATGGATTATCATTAAATTATTTTATTTGTTTCAAATGTATACAAACAAGTTCTGGCTGCCTTCTCACCAGTTCATTTGTGGTCACTTGTTTTATCAAAGGGATGATGTATCATTGTTTGCACCTTTCATTAAATGACTACTTTTTTTTTCGCGCACATAAAACACTAGGGAGGCTGAACAGGATATCAGCTGCATTTATTTTTTCGACTGGTTTAGTGCTTCCTTGTTTTCTGTTTCTAACAGCTAACTTAGTATGCAGACTACTAAAATTTCTTTGTTCTGTTTGTTGTGCGTTAAAAACTGCTTTGCTCTAGTTTTTTTTATGGAATTCAGATAGGTTTTTGGCCATTCTATTAAGGTTATTTTGTTTTGCTCGAGGCATTATTCTGGTCTATGATAATAGATATCATTATATTTCCTGAGCTTATCATTTTTTGTCCATGGCATGTATAATTTTAGTCCAATTTAGAAAATGATAAATTCTTATCTAGTACTTTGTTTTTCTCTGTCAAAATTTCCTACTATCTCTTGCTCTCCTTTGGGTTGGCTTTGTGGGCTGTCTTGCGATTTGAAGATTCTTTTCGTTCCATGGTCTACATCCTGGCTTTGTCATGTTCATTGACATTTGTCTTATTCTTTAGAGGGAAAAACACGAGTTAGAGTTTACGACAATCATTTTATACTATTCAAAAAGTGAGGTTTATATATTCGCAATGCTTCAGGTGGTTGACGCTTATTCTTTAATAGGAGATGTCTCTGGCCTTTCTGAAAAGATACAAAGTTTTTTCATGCAAGAAGTTATCTCAGAAACTCATGCTGTGTTGAAGAGTATTGTTCTGCATGAGGTAATATTGATTTTATACTATTTACAACTATAACATATTATTTTACCTTCTCAAAGAAATTATTTTAATGTGTGTATTGATAATTTTGTCCAGTCAAATTCTAGATTTGAGGCCTTTAGTCTATACAATTTATCAATGTACTTATGCAGATCCACTGACTAGGAAATGAGGTGGAGTTCACAGGATGCCTATTCTAGTTAATTATACCAACGCTAATTCAAATTTAGTTAAGTTGGATGATAAATTTACATGTTTGACCATTAGTTACGGGCAACCATATATGAATTATATTAATAATAGGTTTCTTGTTCGAGCCTTCATCCGCATCTAACTTTTGTTTAGTTTTGTTTCCTTGTGAACTTATCCTTGGTCCTTTATGTGTCCTTTCTCCCTTTTCCTCTACCCTCATGATGGTATGTATTTTCTACCTCATACGATAAGCTAACTTATTTAAATGATTGATAAACTTTTGCAGGACCAAGATGTACATATGCAAAATAGCAGGTATGCATTCCAAACTTAACTGTTCTTTCTATCAACTGATGTGCTAGTATTTGATCTAATGCTATGGTTTCTAACTTATTTTTTATTTGATCTCAGACTTACCTACAGTGATCTATGCCTTCAGATACCTGAATCTAAGTTTAGACAGTGTTTCTTAAGAACACTGGCTGTCCTGTTCAAACTAATGTGCTCTTATCATGAAATCATGGCCTTTCAGCCGGAGAATAAGGTCAGTTTGAATCTTAATGCTTCTCACTTGTTTATGTAGAATATCTGTTGTCAGTGGTGCTCTCCAACTTTTCATTGCTGTGAAATCTAGACTATACAAGGCCAGAAAATATAGTTCATTAACTTATATGGGAGAGCTAAGTTAGTGTTGGGGTTAAGCAAGTTTGTGCTTTGACTCGCATGGTTTTTCCTTTCCTGTGTAGGTTTTCTTCTGAGGCATCAATTTGAATCTATTGTATGGTATATGAATTTGTGATGTATGCATATTTTTATGAAATTATCCTGGATTCTGTGGTAGTGCCATGGCTTTTTGTGTGTTCCTGATTTTCGTCCTGGTTGTTTGGGGAAAGGGGAGGGGGGCCTGTCTCTTTTGGCGTATTTATTTATTATTTTGAAATATTTTGATCTTGTTGCAGGTTTTAGAGTGCCCAATAACAAATGCCAATTTGATGGAAGGTAACATGTTTTCAGAATGCTGTTAAGGTTTCTGTAGATCAATTCAGTTTCTAAAATAATCATTGCAACTCCTAATGGGTTAATTGTTTTCTCTCTTAGAGTCTGTAGACCAGAGACCAGGTTCATCTTCCATGAAGGAGTCTACAACAGCCACGTCCATGTCTGATACATCTGAAAGGAAAGATTCTGGGGCTGGTGGACTGGTTTCTGAGGGTAGAAATGAAGATGGTGCTACGTCAAGCAGTGTATCTCCGTGGTATCAATTAAGGAAAGAAGCCATAACTTTTGTGTCACAAAACCTGCAGAGGGGACGTAAGAATCTTTGGCAACTTATGACTAGCCGAGTATCAGTATTGCTGTCTGCTTCAGCTGCTGCTTCTACAAGCATTCATCAACTTTTAAAAAATTATGAAGATCTTAACACTTTCATCTTGGCTGGGGAAGCCTTCTGTGGAGCAGAGGCTTTTGAATTCAGGCAGAAACTGAAGGGTGTTTGCGGAAATTATTTTGATGCATTTCATAGGCAAAATGTATCTGTAAGTTGCCCTGCACGCTTATTCTTCATCATGGTTACTTTTGTTGTTTTTATTGGTATTGGAAGAGTTAGTCTTTGAAGTTGCAAGCTTTCTTTGGGGACAGGGTGGGGCTGCCATTTAGTTATAGCTCGTAATGGGCTTCTTAGTTTCTTTTCTTCTCTGCAAATCACAGTGTGAGATTTGTTGGTTTCTTCTTACTTGCATCATAATCATCGTCATCATCATTATTATTTTGTAATGACTGTTGATATTTTAATTGATTTGCGCCAACTTCCATGGAACTTTGAATAAAAATGGAACATGGATCTTTTTTTTGGTGGGCAGGTATCAATATTTCCCTCTTTTATCTCCTTGCTTACTGTAGCATATTAAAATTGTTACTATTATTTCTATTCACAATTCTAGTGCCTTCTGCCTATAAATTGTTACTGTTATTTCTGTTGAAATGGAGATGTGGCTTATTTTTTGTTTCATTTCTAGGCGCTTAAAATGGTTTTGGAGAGGGAAACCTGGCTTAGTTTGCCACCAGAGACTGCCGAAATAATTAGCTTTGCTGGGCTGGTCGGTGACGGAGCACCCTTAATGGCTGCATCTGGTGGAAGGTCTTCTAATTCTAGGGTCCTTCACATTGACAAATCAGCCAACAAAGTTGACACAGATGTTAAGAAGAGTGTGTTTTCTCCTTGGCTTAGAAATGGCAACCCATTTTTGCTAAAAGTAAGCTGCAGTTACAAAGAGACTCACAATTCCTCCCCACTTAATGGAGCAACCTCTGTGGTATTTGATGGAAATGCTGATAATATTCATGGTGATGTCTCTCCACACAATGACGATGAGAATAATATCAATGGCTCCAATTCCATCTCTGAAGAGGAAAATGAGGATTTACTTGCTGACTTTATTGATGAGGATAGTCAGCTCCCTAGTCGAATTTCAAAACCCATCCTTTCAAGAGGTTACTCTTTTCATGGCATTGATGATTTTACAGCACAAACCGGATTATCTCTTTGTGTTCTAAGGTTAGATGCTTACAATTAAAAAAAAAAAGATGGACTTCTCTACTAAGAGCTGAATGTTGTTTATTTTCTTACAAGTGAATATTGAGCTGTTTTCTGACTTTGATACATTAGGTCGATGGATAAGTATGCAAGATTGATGCAGAAACTTGAAATAATAAATATCGAGTTTTTTAAGGTGTGTACTTGTTAAATCTCTCTTTTCCTAAGCTCTACGTTCTCATATGCGCATACAATCTGAACACTTTTTTTCTTTTTCCCTCTAAATTATTTTTCCTGATTCAGTGCATTGTTGCAGGGCATATGCCAATTATTTGAGTTGTTTTTCCATTATATATTTGAAACATTTGGTCTGCAAAACATGAATTCAAGTGCAAAGACTTCAACTGATTCTCTTAATTGTAAGTTAGTTTTCATTCAATACACGATGGAACTTTATATATCAATTGATATGTCTTTAACTTGTGTGTTCATTTCTCATTTCTGCATTTTCCTATTTTTTTATTCCTAGATCGGTTAAAGGAGGCCTTATCGAGAATAACACAAGATTGTGAAGAGTGGATAAAAACTTCATCAGGATCCTTCTCATCTACAACTGGACATGCAGATTTGACACCCACTGCTCCTCAAAATACAAATTTTGGTTCTCCGGCAAGCACCTCCGTTGGTCTAAAGGTATATAGTAAATATCTTTGGATAAGGTATTTACTGATTTTTAGGATGGCCATAATATTTTTCCCAAGTTCTTTTTCTTCTAGATTTGATGAGGAAAATCTCCCATAGTTAGCAGATTTCTTGTTCTCTCGTCGGCCACTTAATATTTTCATAGTTGTATTTCTCGTTGTGATATTAAATAAGGAATAAAGAATTTTTGTTTGTTAATGTGGCATTATTCATAAAAATGCCCCGAACATGCTCATCAAAGAGAATCTCTATGTTAAATACTTATTGGTTTCTTGATTTCTTCAAAGTATTATGATTTATGTGGATTTTGTTTATAGAACAGGAATGAAGCGTTTAGTAATTTATCTGCCCATAATAACATAACACTTACGTTGCAGGAAAGGTGTGCAGGTGCTGATACTATAGCCCTTGTAGCCCGGATATTGCATAGATCAAGAACTAATCTCCAATCATTGCTTCTGAAGAGTAATACAACTGTAGTTGAAGATTTCTTTGTGCACCTGGTATGTTTCTCATTTATTCATTTCTTATGAAGTGGGTTAAGAAAATGCAAAATATCAACCTTTTGTGACTTATGGTATAGTGCAATCTCTAAATAAAACCAGTATAGTTATTTATAACCAAAAACACACTTTGTCCTCTCTTCTTTTACAAGGATATCCTGATTTCTGCTTTGAGTTATTTGAAAATAAATTAATATTATTAAATAAATGGTTGAAGTAGCATGTGGTCTAGATTTTAGTTCCACCTTTCTTATGTAACAGTAAATTAAATAAATTTGCATTTTGTTGCTTTATCAATTTGATACGTTCAACTTTTTCCAATATATAGAACCCATCATAGTATTTTCAAGCAATAGCTTTATATTTCTTGAACGCCTTTCACACCATCCTGTGCTAGATTAATGTGTTGGCACTATCAAGTTACTCTAACTTATGATTTGTGGTTCAAGTGGTTTCTTTAATCAGTATGAAATGACAACAAACTGGCAGCATTGGGGCTTGGCTCGAGAAGAAAGCTTATCTTTTCTATATCAAACAGATAAAACAAAATTCAAAGCATCAGTTACTCCCAATAATTATTGTAGCTTCCATGAGGGTAGCTCTTCCCTGGAGTGGTTTAGGTGGTGTTCTAAAAGATGTGTCTGGTTCGATCCTAGGCTCTTTCAAAGAGTCTGCTGGCCCGGGGCCTCCAACCTTGATGGAATTGAAAGCTATCCTAAAGGGTTTATCTTTCTTTGAATCTATTCGACAGAGATTTAAGGATCACTTGATTATTGAGAGTCATAGCAGGGTGGCAGTCGACTGGGTTAAGAATGCTGTTCTATGTCCTCATGTTTATGTTCATATTGTTAAAGACATTATTCAAAAGCTCAGAGATTGGCAGCTAATCTAGAGGCAGATGCCCTAGCTAAGGCTGGTATTGGTTGATCCTTATGTTGTTTTTAAGGGATGTTCCTTTTTGGTTTTCTATTTCCTTAAGGAAGTTAGGTGTTATATTCCTATGTACTTATTTTATGTTAATGAAATCCTAGGGCACTCTTTTTCTCCTTCCGCTGATTAAGGAACTGTTTTCAAGCTCCATTAATCATGAAGGGGTTTTTTAATGAGGCCTAATATTCTTATCAAAAATAAAAAAGGGTAGCACTTCCCTGTCAAGGACCCTCCTATTGCTTTCCTCATAAAAGCTAAAAAATTAGGTGGACCAAATTATCAGTTCTACTATCTGTATCAGTACTTATATCTCTCAAGTTCTTGCTCTTGCCAATCAACCCTGTTTATTGTCCGTGTAATAGCCTACTTGGCCTAAGCTAAGCTGCTCTTGCACAAGGAAAAGCTGCAAGTTTGTCTTCCTCCTTCGGACACACACATATATTTGCTTTTGCCTGCTTTATGTGGAACATGTTATTTATATGTTGATTTTTAAAATTCATTATTGTTTTTCAATTTAGTATGCTTTTGTCTTATCAAATGAATCGTATTTTATGTATATTTTATATTTACTTATAATATGATATTAACTATCTCGGTTACTCCAGGTGGATGCTGTGCCAGATCTTATAGAGCACATACACAGGACAACCGCAAGAATACTGCTCCACATTAACGGGTAATATCATTGTATTGAGTTCCTCTTTCAAAAATGTTGTTGGTCATGTTACCTTTGTTTTTCTTTTAGGAGCAAAAAAAATAAAAACAGGAGTGCATGTCAATACAAAAGCAAAAAAGTCGTTTTAAGGATTTTTTTTGAAGGATTATAAAACAAAATAAACTTGAATTTTATGGACAAAAAAAAACTATGATTTAACAGGCTGAAAGCAAAAAGAAAGTATATATTTACTAGTATGCCATGAATTTTCCTGTCCATGGTCTATGCTATTCTCATTATAAAATCTGAATCTTTGGCAGGTACGTTGATCGAATTGCTAATGCGAAATGGGAATTGAAAGAGCTTGGAATGGAGCACAATGGGTTTGTTCCCTTGCTAATGACCTCTTTCTTTACATAGTCATTGGTTTCGTCTTCTTTTGTTTTTTTGGTCTGTGATCTCATATTTGGCCGTAGGTCGTGTTATTATCTTTGCTTAAATAAATCCATAACCTCCATTTGACAAGTTCTTGTTGTGATCTGTTTAATGAATAGGTATGTGGATCTGTTGTTGGGAGAATTTAAGCACTACAAAACAAGGCTTGCTCATGGGGGAATTCAGAAAGACGTAAGTTGAACCTCCATCCTTTTAAAATTTAGTTAGATATCAGAACTAATCAATGTGATATAATTTGCCTATTGCTTTTCATTCGATGGTTCAATTGGAACTGATTGATTCCGAATCCATCCAGCAATTCTGATTTTGCCATTAAAAAAACAGTCAGTATCATTTTTGTTTAAAGAATATGACTGATATTTAATGTCTTCACGCGCGTTCATCATCATGATGTCTTTGCGTTTTGACCTAGGATAAATACAGTTACCATTAAAATTGTGGAATGATTTACTCTTATATTTTCCGATGAGTTAGGTTCAAGACCTCCTCTTGGACTATGGACTTGAAATTGTTGCGGAAACTCTTATTGAAGGTCTATCCCGAGTGAAGCGATGCACCGATGAAGGACGAGCTCTCATGTCTTTAGACCTTCAGGTGTTGATTTAAATTTTGACAAGAAAATTCAATGTGTTTATTGTGTTTGTCTTGCATGTCTATCTGTTTTGGTAACTAACCATTTTTTACTTTTCCCATTCAGGTTCTAATCAATGGCCTACAACACTTTGTCCCCTTGAACGTGAAGCCAAAGTTACAGATTGTCGAAACTTTCATCAAGGTAACTCCATAGCTAACATGTTCAACTCAGAAATTGTTGCAAAAATTGATTCCTCGATCATTTTGATTCAGTTCAGTCGTTCTCTTAACAGGCTTATTATCTTCCCGAAACCGAATACGTACTGGGCACGAGCTCATCCTGTAAGAAATGTTCTCGCTACAGAAAAATAGCAATTGCTTTTATTATTATTATTATTATTCACTTGTTTGTCATAAAAACCTGAAAATAATTAACTTTGGGAATGCAGGAATACAGCAAGAGTCAGATAGTGGGGTTGATAAACCTTGTTGCTACAATGAAAGGTTGGAAAAGAAAAACCAGGTTGGAAGTTCTGGAAAAGATCGAGTGAGCTGGTATGTAGTCGATCAACGTAAAGTTTCACACTTGATAAAAAAGAAATAAGTCCTTTTCGGTTCTTTGTAACAAAATTATGTATATCCAAATGAGTGATTCTTGATCCCCTTTTCATTACAACGAGTGCGATTAAGGTTGTATATCTTCGAATGTCTTTGTTTGTAACACTTGTGTTTCTCTTAATATCTAATGCAATCTTGAAGTAACACGTGATGTTGTGTAATAATGAACTATTCGAGTGCGATTAGGGTTGTATATCTTCGAATGTCATTGGCCTGAAGTGCTGACATGCGGATAGATATACTCATGTATTGCTTCTACTAATATCATCTTATTAAATAGGGTTAATATAATTGCAAGCATTCGTTTTGGGGATATGAGATGCGAGTGAATGGTGTATACTCTAAGTTTCCCTTTGTTTGCAGTTACTTTTAGTGGAACATTCATTACAAAAAGATCACAGCCTTGTCGCGATTAGAAAGAAGCTTCAATGGTTAAATTCCAAAGGTAGAAATAACGTGGAAGAAAGGGTATACAAAGCGTGAAAATTCTAATACAAACAAACGAAGGTGCCGAATTTGAGTAGACATTACACCACATGTACACCTATACACACATATATGTATGTATATATATATATAAATGTTTTGTTTCAAAATGATAAGAAAGAAACAAGGGAACGCAAATTTAAAAAAAAAAAAATCCTCTCGGCTCAATAACGAATCTTTTGCTATAGAGTTAGCTTCGTCAGCTCCATGTCCAAGGATCACCATGAAAGTATTCTTCAAGAAGCTCTGCAAAAACTTGAAGAACGCCAACAAGGAGGAGGAGGTGGAGTTAAAGAAGAAGAAAGAGGTTTGGGAGCGAGGGAAGCTGATGAAGAAGAAGAAGCAAAGGAAAAAGAAGAGTGCAAAACGCCGACGTCGAGTGATCACAAAATACCCACCATTCAAAGCTGTCCGCCGACACCGAAGAAGAAAGTGAGACCGGATTCTTTCCTCAAGAGGAAGCTATCGGAACTGCAGTTCTTCGAGACCACGAGAAGGGAGGAGGTGGAGTCGTTTTTCCGATCAAACTCCGAACCATTTACTTTCGGTGGCTCTCGAGGTTTCAAGAGGAGATGCAGAAGTGCTTGATGAAATATTTATTTAGTTTTGAATAAACCTATCAGATAATGTAAGCAATTCCATTTGCACTTTAGTTTCTTACTAATATCATCTAATGACCCTTCATTTGTTCCTCAAAATCTGCGTTTGAAAATCAAAGCCAAGCTTCAATTATTTAATATTCTATAGAGTACAAAATTTGCATATATGGTTAAGGATGGAAGTAAGACGATGAAGGAATTAAAAGATGTAATTTTTTTTATTTTTATTTTGAAGTACTTTAACCATCAATGTTTTATTTATGTATAAAAATTGTTAGTTCTAATATTCAATATATATTGTTGATGTTGTGATTAATTATTGGTGTGTCACATGTCATGTTATTATCTTAGAATATGTAATACTTTCATAATATCATTTGGGTGACGTAATACTTATTATATCAATGATTAACATATAAAAATATCCCGTTAAAAATTAAGATATTGAAGATAAAATACTCGAGAAAATAAAAATTAAATAATTATTTAATCAAATATTATAAATTAATTTTAATATTATATTATTTTCCACACTATGGGTTTTTTTTTTAAATGTAGTTCTTTAAATCATAAACAGATTGAATTATATTTATATATTGATAACAATAAATCATATGATGGCATCTTTGAAAAAAAATCAACTTTCTGTAATGTTTAAGACAGATGTTATTTTTAAAATATATAAAAATAAATTATTTTACATCACTTTTTCCAAAAAAAATATTATCTTGTCGAATCTACTTATGTAGCTTAGATGTAGCGAATGGTGACGTGATACTCAATAAGGTTCACTCTCATATAATCAATTAGCTAGCTAGATCAACTTTATCTATACATCCAACACGTAGAATTCAATTTCTTTCTATATTGACGGTACAAAATTTTAACTTTATCGGTAGATTTAAAAAGTATGATGATTTAGAGGCTAAAAAATTCACTATTATACGAATCTATATTCTATATAAAGCACAGAATACCAATAATAATATATATATTTAGTCGTACCATACGTTATCTATATAATATGTTTTGCCAATTTATTAACAGAGAGGAAATAGCTACAGCTTAGCACAAACCCTAACGTTTTTTTTTTATCGTGGTGCTTATAGGGAATTCTTTTATCGTTTTTTTTATCTGTATTGACACGAAATGGAGCATTAAGGTTATGAAAAATCTTTCAAAATGCCAAGTAATGTACCTTCCCTGTGTTTTTCCTTTTTTTTTCTATACTAATTGACAAGAAAACGTGGACGATGCATGTCGGATATATTGCTTTTGTTATTCCTTTTACAATGTTTTTGACTGTATGGCACATGCAAAGAAGAAGATGACTGACATCTGTGTGGAAAGGTTAAGCCGAAGAAGGAAGCAATTTAACTAATATGAATTAAGAGAGTGATTAGTTATAGCAGTTGTAGGATGGATGGTGGCCATGTCGGCCCATTAGCAATTTGTAAGTACACTGTGGATTTTTCCAGCAAGTTGGAAAAGGGAACAGAGATATTAGAAGTTGTCTTTCTGAATGCCAATGGTGAAGAGAAGGAACTTGTTGGTACACATGGATGGAGCAGTGGAATGACAGTTTGCATGTAACCCCACATACCGATAAGGGTAACCAGACCCGATCTGAGGTGTCACATTTAAGCCACCGGAACGACCCACTGTAAAAATAGAGAAAAATTTAAAATTTTTATTAAAACGTGTAACTTATAAAATCAGTTGTCACTATTTAAAAATAAAACAGACGTCCAGACTCGTATATAAATCAAAATACAATTACATGCTCCCTAATCACATGTACCATACTCTGCAACAACGCCGGAAGAACTCCCTTACTGATGTCGATAGCTGCACTGGTACAATTCTTTTAACCTGAAAATGTGAGTAATAGAGTGAGCTTCGAAAAGCTCAGTAATACAGAACTACCAGATGATGCTGATGAACGTGCAGATACAGATAAATATATATTTCCTTATTGTTTCCGAACATTTACAGATTTTTATGTTGAGCAGAGATCCTACTGATATTTCAGGTGGTAACGGACAATGAGCTTTCAGTTCAGAGAAATATTTCGGATGACTGAGTTCAGAAGATCAGAACAGGTTATCTAGTGTGTTCCCATAAAACCAGTAAAAAGATACATATATTTTTTAAAGCATATATATATACACCCCGGAACCATACACCCCGCACAACCAGTAACAGTAAGGCCCTGAGCACACAGCCGAGGAGCCTGCAGTAATCTTCCTCCAACAATAAACCCCCCAGATAAAACATTTCTCCGTCGGTAAACGGAGATATCAGAAATCAAAGCAGAATTCATATCAGATATCAGAACAGAATCTAGATCAGAATCAGAACAGAATTCAGGTAACGTACCAGAACATAATTCAATTCGGAAATCAGATAAAATATTTATATAATGAGGGAACACACCAGAGTTTACATGTATTATTTAGAGGTACTGTATCAGGCAGAGAAACACAGTTATTCAATATACCGATAGAATATCGAAATTCAGAATCATTATTGGAAGAGTTCAATAACTGACAAAATCATCAATTATTCAGAATATAACTTGAGCTGTAAGGAAGAAATGAAGATTCAGGACATTTACAATCTATGTCGATTGATCGGATTATCAAACAACTCTTAAATGAATAGCTCCCAAAATTAATGCTTGTCGATTGATCAATTCATTGTTCTTCCAGGGTATTTACTCTTTAATACCACAAACTCTTATACATAGATCATTTTCGGAATCATCACTGAATAGATCTTCCAATATCTTTATTTTTTTTTACGCTTCCAATATATCATGAAATACTGACGTGCTTGATTTGTAGTTCATGATCCAAAAGAACAGTACATTGTGTATGTTCATTAACGTTTCCAGACTCATTCATATCACTTACTTAATCCTTAGTGCTTGAGGTTGCTTAGTTCATTTAGCATTCAAGTCTATTCCAGTTACTTCAGGATTTTCCAGAGTAATTCCGTACATTTCTGAATTTCAGATACATATTGTACTTCCGTTCAGTTCAGTTTGGTCTTCGTGGTTGATTTGTCGAACAAATATCCAATTCTTAGTACCGAATGCAATCTAGAGTTGAGCTGAGCTGAATACTTCCAAAATTACCATTGAGCTAAACTTGAGTAGACGAACATGCATTCAAGTAATATCTATGTCGTTCAGGTACTGACATATTATTAAGGTTGATCGGCTCACTTAAGTTATGTTCCATAACTTTTAAAGGTAGTCCAATACCTATGCTTATTTGGATTCCTTAATTAATCCAAGATATTTACTTAGTTTAGGCCATAAGGTTATTTTGATAATTTTGGTGTTCAGTTTTATTCCATTTATTTCAGAGCTCAAGGATATCCAATCATTGCTGAGCTTGGTGATATTCTTGGGTCATTTCCATTACATGGGTGTTTTGGTCATTGTACAGATTCAGTGTACTTTAATCATTTCCTTCCGTCTGATCTTACTATTAAATTCAATCTTATCATTTATTTCAGTCCTTTCGAACAATTCTGACAACAGAACACCCCCGACAAATTGTTCTTCAGGTATTTACTCATAACTCAGATATTTCCGGGTCAAGTGCCTTCTCAGATTTTACAAACGGAACATCAGGAATTTTCATGCACTAAGTCAGGATTTTAACAATCAAATCCGTACTTAATCGAGTTAAGTATGAATCCTCTAAGTATTTTCTCATTCAGAGTCAACTCAGACTATTCTACCTCTTAAGGCATTTCCGTAATTTCTTAACCAGATAATTGCGATATTAGCTCTTAACGAAAATAATATAATTTAGAGATCCTATGATTAATTGCTTTCTTGAATACTCTCTGATCTTGAAACGGTTCTCTTAAAAACTTCTAGTATCCTTCACAAACTCTCATAGGATTAAAATCGGTTATCCATAATTTCCAAATAAAATTAACATTTCTTATGCACATCAATATTTTTATAAGATCAATATGTCTGTAAAATCCTCTTATCTAACTTCCATATTCAAATCTTGTCTTTTTATAACATAAGGGTATTTTCGTAATTTTACCATACCGGAGTATTCTCATAATTTCTCATCCAAGTACCTTTAACATTTAACCTTTGATGAAATAAATTATAAGTTGCATATACAGGGCTGATTTCTTTATCACTAATCACTACCTTGTAATTTAATCTAACAATTCCTCAATTTCTTATTTTAGTCATTCGATCCGTAATTAGTTACAGAATTTCTATCACATCATATCGAGTGTATAAATTATTCAACTCTACCAAAGTGACCAGCATTATCTTGTTTATGCATTTATCAATATAAACATGTTCCATAAAGCATAAAGAGGTAGTAAAATATTACCTCGATTTCCGTGCAATACTGATCGACCATAAAAATTCCATTCGAATGCCTTTGATCTTCAATTCAACTTCCAATAATTCCTCAGATACATATCAACATAAATTATATCAGAAACGGAGCTTAATTGCGATAAACGGATCGAATCGGATGATAAATCAGTGAAAGACGGCTTACCGGGTTCGAATTTGGCGAAACGGACTTCGGATTCAGATTCAGGACGTCGAAAGCATAAAATATGACTTTTCGAAAATTTGGATTTTTTGTCAAATAAAAGTCAACGAGTTTGACCGGCAATTTTGAGGCCTTCGGGTTCGAATTTCGAAAAACGAACAGCGAAATCGGATTTGGAATGTCGAAAAATGTCATGATAAATATACTCGGTCGAAATCAAAGGTCGTTTAATGCCCGGTCAAAGTTTTGGTCAACAGTGGCAACACCAGTCAACGGTCAACGGGTCGGGTCGGGTTATGAGCAGTCAGACCGGTCAACTATGTATCAAAACCGGTCAAACCGGCCATTTGGACCATCCCCACGCGCAGTGGAGCCCCTTCCGGCTGCCTAAAAATCACGGAAAAATTCTTCAAAATTATTTTGAGCGATTTCGAGATACTTACAAAGCTCGGTTCAAATTTTTGAACGGCGGAGAGCTCGATTTCAACGAATCGGAAATTTTGACCGCTTCACCTCCTCACGCGCCACCGTCGACGGAGACCAAGGATGACACCGGAGAACTCGGAACGATGCAATGAACACGATGGTGCGGGA